ACTGGATCAAAACTTTAAGGATCCTTCTCTTATTCATAGTTTCACAGCACTCTGAAATGCAAGAAACTAAAATAAGGCAAATCATCTAATATTGCAAATATGTTGGATTCTGCTATTATTCAAACCCAAGTTTCCTATGGTAATCAAGTTTTCACATTAATAAATTTGGAACAGCTTGCTTTGTACTGTAATCATGCACAAGGTCAACTTAACAGGGTCTATACACCCTCTACTGGCGCATGCAGATCCTGCACGAGTTCACCAATTCATTCATTGGGGGGGTGGGGAAAGGGAAACATAGAATTATACCTTGATCTTATTTATATATATCACACACAAATAAAGACAAGATGTCTGTCTGTGTGTCTGTCCGTCAATACCGCAATAACCGATGGATGTATAGACATGATTTATACCTCATCGGAAAGGTCTTGCATGGGGCAAGTGTCATGGGCATATTTTGTGTGGGGGCATCTCCTATTGTTGATGAGTTATGACCTTAACAAGTTCAACACACATGTATGGCAGTTTTGCTTAAGGTGTACACACAGTCTTTATGGCATGTTAAATGGTTTGTGAGTGGTTTCACTGAAATCTACATTCCATATTGGATCCTTTGGTTGCAAGCGTAGCTAGTCCACTGTAAAGGAGATGATCATCTCTATGATTTATTGAAATTGACACATAATCAAGGGAAGTTTCAATAATATTTTCGAAAGGGAAATTAATTTGAGTTTCTTTCAACATGGAAACAATACCCACCTATCACCTATGCCAGTGTGATCCAACCTTTTTGGTATCGGGGCCGATTTCACATGTGAGAGACGTCCGCGGGCCGCATTAGCAATGCTTTTGTTTTTCCCTTCCAGAAACATAAAGAATCATACAGAAATCATATGTTTTAAATTGTGTGACTGTATTACTTAATAATGATCATCTCAAATGAGAATAAATGCAACAAATGTTTTATTTCCACCCCTCACACCGCCAAAAGCTCTCATCCTTGCACTGATCACATCTAAGCTCGACTATGCCAACTCCCTGCTTGTCGGCCTTCCCAACTCTTCCCTCCACAAGCTGCAGATCATCCAGAACTCTGCAGCTTGTGTCCTGTCCGCACCAGGTTCCGTGACCCCATTACCCTCACCCTTGTTCAGCTCCATTGGCTTCCCATCCCCCAGAGGATAGAGTTCAAAATCCTCACCCTTGCCTTCAAGGCCCTCCATGGCCTTGCCCCTCCCTACCTCTGCAACCTGTTGACCCCATATCAACCTGTCCGCTCCCTCTGCTCATCAGGCGATGGCCTACTCCATGTTCCCTGCCCTCCTCACCATCGGCGGTCAGGCCTTCAGACTTTCTGCCCCCTCCCTATGAATTCTGTCCCACATTCCCTTTGTCTCACTCCCTCCTTCAAGGTGCATCTCAAAACCCACCTTTTCGACTGAGTCTTCAGTCACCCTCCTACCCGCCCCAATCCCCAGCTCAGGTCCAAATCCCTGACGGACTGTCTTGGGGTGTCCTCTCGACATGAAAGACGCTATACAAATGTAATTTTGTATTGTGTTAATGTATTAAAGTCAAAGTACAAGATACCAACTCAGCACATGAAGATCCAACTTATCTATGTTCATTGGCTTTCTTAATAGCCACAACAAGCCATCTCAACATTTTCAATTTTTAACTGCAAGGTAGAAACCAGAATCCTTATGATTTCTACCTGTAGTTGGATCTTCTAATTCCTCTTCAAACTGCACAGTATTGCTCTTTACATGTTCCTTGAGAAATGAAAGTACCTCCTTCCTAAGTGCAAATAACTGCACAAGACAGTGGCACACACTCAGCCAATGCACTTTGGAATAAAGAGGTAAATTACGATATTCTGCATCTATTTCTTCAAGGAAGTTTATGAACTTTCTGTGACTGCGCTCGATTTCCTCTGCGGATAGCATTGATCATTTTGGCGATACTAGTCATCACATTACTCATTTTCACTGGTTTTCCGCAAAGGGACTCCTGGTATATGATGCAGTGGACAGTAGTACATTAAATTCCATTTTGTTTCAGCAAACCTAACAAACTATTTTTACAGCTGGTCATTGATTTTGCACCATCTCTCACATTGCAGAAACATTTCTGAAATCCATTGTATTGTCAGGTGAAGTAAGAACCTTGTAAATATCCAACCCCTTTGTATGCATGTGTTCGTTCACGTTACTTATTCTCCTTGCCACAGTTTGGTGAGACAGTGCTACACTTTCAAAAGAGAGCTGTTGCCTCCCAGCTTTCAAAATTATCAGCCATTTTTACACAAGCCAGTATATTTGTTCTATTTTGTCAGGTGTTGTAGTGTTTTCTGATGTTGAAGTCCTCCAACACAATTATTACTTGCAAGCAAACAAGACACGGAGGTTCTCCATTATTATTCATATTAATATGCCATTATTATTTTCCATTATTGCTTCCTCCCTCCAAACAAACAGACAAAGTCAATGTCCTGTGAGTGCTACATCACAAAAGACTACTAATAATTATTTGGTCACTGAATCCATGACTGTTTTTGGGATACTGCTGTACGCAATTGGCTGCCCTGTTTAGCCCACAAAAATATACAGTCAATTCAGTTTACAGTATATTATGTGAAGTGCTTTGAGACAAGACCATGGTCCTCCTGCTTGGCTCCCGTCAACACATCCATACCTCGGGCGCTGACAGCATCTCCCTCCATGGATGCACATCTCACGGAATCAATACGGAACCTCAGCATCCTGTTCAACCCTCAACTGTCCATCATGCCCCACATCCGTGCCATGACCCACTTGGCCTTTCCCCACCTCTGCAACATTGCTCGGCTCCGCCACTATCTCATGCCACAGGCTGCTGAGATCCTCACATACACATTCAAAACATACAGGCATGATTACGCAAACTCCCTGCTTGTCAGCCTCAACTCCTCCCTCCATAGGCTGCAGATCATCCAGGAGTCTGCAGCCCCTGTCCTCTCCTGCACCAGACCCCATGACCCTATCACCCCCACCCTCGACTGGCTTCCCGTCACAGAGGATACAAGACCTTGGTCCTCACTTTCAAGACCCTCCATGTCCTTGCTCCCCCCTACCTCTGTGACCTCCTAATCGCCTACCAACCTGCACGCTCCCTCTGCTCAGCGGGCTCTGGCCTGTTTCACATCCCCCGCCTTGCCTGCCCCACTATTGGCGGGTGGGCATTCTGCCACTCCGCTCCCACCCTCTGGAACTCCATTCCGCAGTTCCTCAGCTTGCCCCCTTCCTTGCCTCCTTCAAGACCCATCTCAAGATCCTCCTCTTGGACCGTGCCTTTGGTCATCCTCCTTCCCCCCACCCCCAGCCATCCACCCTCCCCGATCCCAACCCCCAGCTCAGGTCTGAAACACTGATTGTCCAGGTCTTTGGAAATCCTCCTAATGTGAAAGGCACTATACAAATACAAATATTATTATAATCAATTTGCCATTTACACTCAAATCCTCTATTTTCCACTTCCAACTTCTGTTTTCTTTAGAGACTTACAGACCTGCTGGACTTAAATTCTCTCTGCAACTCCCCAGGTAAGAGTAGCAGATTCAGACTGAGGGCGCAGAGGTGGAGGAGTCCTCCGGGAGCTCCACCTGTCTCCTTGTCACTCTGGGCACTGCCTCATGCTGTCGCAGCGTGCAGACCAACCACAAGAGAGGCGCAGCCGGAAGATAAAACTGAAGTCAGAAATGGTTTGGCATAAAATCACTCGCTGGGCCGCTAGGCTGCCTGTTGAACAATGCTGACCTATGCCATTCATTTGATTTTTTAGATTGTAAAAATGGTTTTATTTCTAGCTTCTTATTCCACTCAACTAAAGTGTAACTAATGCTTGTAATATAACCAGTGTAACATTTGTAATAAAGTGACAGTTTGGGTATTTAAGCCTCATCACGAATTGAGTTCACACTTCAGAAATAGAACGTATCCAAAAAGACGGTTTAAATAACATGAATTCTTGTTGACCTTTTATTTAAAATTCTTCAACTTCAATTGAAAATTGTACCAAATGGTTTCATTCAAACCTAGCCTGTAACAACTCAGAGTAACCAAACACATGACGGCAAACAGAACCAGAAGTGGGATATCAGTTGAGCAGAGGAAGGGTTTGTATTTCATTTGACGCCCAATTATCCATATCGTTTTCTACTTGCCAATGAGGCTGGTCCCAATCACTGTGGATACCCTCCTTCGGGGGATAAGCAGGGTCTCTTTGGAGCTGAATTAGCTCCAAGGTGACATGCTTGGCAACGGAGTGTTGGAATTGGATTAGCCCTATGCGGCAGTCTCGGTAGCCCGGTTCCTGAACCAGGAGGGTTCGCGGTATTCCAGGGCACTACTGATGACAGCACTAAGCTCATCAAGACCCATCTCACCTGGAAGGGCAGACTAGTCACTGGGGGCAGGGAGTTATCCCACTCAGCTTCCGTTAATCCTACAAACAAAGCCCTAATGGGTAGGGTGGTCCTAGCTGGACAAGCAGTGGGAAAGCTTGCCAGACAGTGATATCAATGGCAAACTATGCGGTTTTAACTCGTTAAGACTCCAATGCACATTTTGGGGTCCCCAAGCCTTGACTCTTGCCAACCTGTGTCTAATACTTTCCAGAATTAGGTAAGCAGGATACATCCCTCCAGAAGGAGAGTGTGCATTCCATTCCAACACATGGAAATTAATCTCTGGAATTTCCATGTGTAGGTGGGGTGCATCAAATTCTGTTTGGTTTGGATACTCTTAAGGATGGCGATGGGTTCCCCCATGTTTCAGATACCCAGCTAACCAAAATAAATTAATAATTGGGTCTCTATTGTTACGTCTTCATATGTGAATTGAGCACCCCTGCTTTGGACAATATTGTACGTCGCCAAACCCAAATCAACCAAATTAAAGTGCAGAATACAATGTTTCACCCTTGTCACTTTCACTTTTGTTCATTTAAGCACGACAAACCTGTAATCCAAAGGTCTATTTCCTGAATGCTCTTCCCTGAACCATCTGCCATTTTCATCATCCTAGATTCATAAAAAGAAAATACAGACTTTCAGCATTAAGGCAATGTCAGGACTTAAACCTCAAGCAAGTGATATACATTTTAACATTTTAAATCCTGAGATTTGGTGATCCAACCTGCACAACATCACCCTCCAGTGGTCTAGAAGAGTTGCCCTCTTAAAAAGAATCATCCAGACTACCAACAATTGGAAAGCCTCTTACCACACTGAGGCCACTGTCGAATAGCCAATGAGGAGACTCGTGGAACCATTGTTCAACAGGAAGGATGCATGTCCAAGCTGTGTTAGGATGATAGTGGCAATGCTCTCGCAATTCATGATGAGCAATACTTTTCACCAGGAAGCTTAAACGGAGTTGCTGGTACATGCAATCTACCCAAGTGCAATTCAAACCTGTGCTTGTGGAAATTCCAATCCCTGGAATTGGAGGGTGCAGTCTCCACCCAGCAGGACGCTGCCTGCTTATCCAATTCTGGAGATTATGAGAGTATATGAGGGCACAGTCTAGCAAGAGCCAAGCCTTGACGATCCCAGAGTATGTAGTGGGAGTACTGCTGGAGGTTAACCAAGTAAAATCACATAGCTTGCCATTGAAAGGAGTTTGGCAGCTTCTCGTTGCTTGTTTAACTTGTTCCTCGAAATTGTCTGGGCTTTGCCTGGCAGGGTTAATAAAAGCAAAGTTAGAAAAATCGCTGCTCTGAGTCTGCCATCAGCCATGTCTTGGATTCCTGCGAACCCCACGGTTCAAAATACAGACTACAAGACCACAACAGAGGATTGCTTTCAATATTCTGTTGCCAAGCACGTCACCTTGGAGTAGTTAACCTCTAAGGAGACCCTGCCAACGAGGCTGAATTAAGTTGACATGTTTGTTCATTAATTACAGCTTATGTCGCCTGCTTCTTCTGATACATCCCCATGCTTTCTCCAACACATATAGTGAAAGGAAAAAAAGTTCACTCCTGTATTATTTTCACCATCCCGTGTTTCTCTCGTCATTCAAACTCCCATCTAATTTTAACTATACTTCTCAAATATTCAATACAAAGACAAATTATATTTGTTTTGCGCCTTTCACGTCAGAAGAACATCTCAAGGTGCTGGACAGTCAGGGATCCACACCCAAGCCGGTGGTTGGGATCAGGAGGGATGGAGGGCGGGAAGGAGGGTGATCGAAGGCACAGTAGAAGAGGAGGGTCTTGAGATGGGTCTTGAAGGAGGCAAAGGAGTGGGCAGGGGACTGCGGGATGGAGTTCCAGAGGATGGCCAGAGAGGCTGAAGGCCCACTCACCAATAGTGGAGTGGGGAGTGGGTTAGGTGGGGATGTGTAGCAGGCCGTAGCCCGCTGAACAGAGGGAGAGGATAAATTGCAAGGGAGTTAAGAGGTCACAGAGATAGTGAGGAGCAAGGCCATGGAGGGCTTTGAAAGTGAGGACCAGGATCTTGAACTGTATCTTCTGAGTGATGGGAAGCCAGTGGAATCGGGCGAAGATGGGGGTGATAAGATTGTGGAGCCTGGTGCGTGAGATGATATGGGCTGTCGAGTTATGGATGATCTACAGCCTGCGGATGGAGGAGTCAGGGAGGCCAAAAGCAGAGAGTTTGGGTTGTTGAGCCTGGATGTGATGAATGCGTGGATCAGGGTTGGACAGAACGTCATTGGTGACTTTGACCAGGGTTGTTTCTGTGCTGTGAGTAGCATGGAAACCCAATTGGAGGGATTCATATTTGGAATGGCAGGAGAGGAAAGAGCGAAGCTGGTACCCGACAACTCGTTCCTGGGTCTTGGAGGGGATGGGGAGGTTGGAGATGGGGCAGTAGCTGGAGAGTAGGGATGGGCTCCGGTAAGGATTTTTTGATGATGTCACACACACACACAGTGAAATACGCTTAAGGTGTACACATCATTGGTGCACGTTGTATTGTCCGGTTTATGCGGCATCCAAGGTTAACCAAAGTTCTTCCTGCCCAACAGGAGAAGCGGCGGCTCCAAAGTGATTGACAGTCTGATGGCAGTTGTGAATGGATGGGCACTCCACCCAATCACAAGCGTCTCCAGGCTTGTCAATCAATCCGATTTAATTCCTCCCATTCCCTCCCTTGTTCCTTTCCCATTCCTCTCTCCCACTCACTGAGCCACAGCCATAAGCCGCTTGTGAATGACTGGAGTCTGCTGTCAATCAATCACAATTTGACTCCTCCCATCTCCATCCCAGAGCCGCTTGTGGCTGAACGAGTTGAAGCAGCAAAGTCCAGCGTTGCATTAATCTGGACAACAGATTAACCGACATATTTAAAATTGCTGAGAACACAAATGAATCGAGGCCGGTCGTTTTGTCTGATTTACCCGGGACCGGGGTATCCAGATTCCACTATGTGTGTCTGTGTCTTTATATAGATATACACTTGCATTTAATATAGCTCCTTATCACATCTTCGAGACATCTCAAAGCGCTTCACAGAATATACAATAAAGTGAATGGGCTGCATATTTTGTGGAGTCGTGGATTAAATGACTAAATTATTATTGTTATTTATTTTGAAGGGATTATTACCCCCAGAAAAGTGATCCAACAATCAACTAAAAACTGGGTTCCTACTTACTGCTAAGAAAACAGAGGTGTGTGGAGTAAGGAAACTTGCCCAACATTCGCCCTTCCCAGGAATCGAAATCAGGTCTTCTGGCTTGCAAGGTGAGTGCTCTAACCACTCAGCAATAGGACTCCTCCAGCTTAGTGATAATAATAATCTATATATAATCTATATAATCTATATATAATACACACACATAGTGGAAGCCGGATAAGGGACATAGATCAGGGACGGACATTTTGACGGCTCAAGGGTGTGCGAGTTTAGCCAAAGTATCATTCCTGCCCAGCAAAGGAACGCCACCGATCCTGTGTAATAATATGTAATATTGTTCTTATGTAATGTATAATAATATGCATGTAATAAAACTGACTTTTACTCCTAAGTCATCCTGGAGACAAACAACAATCCAAAGACACTGTTTGCCACCGTCCATCATCTTCTCCGTGCCGCCCCTCAAACCTCTCTATCCTCACATCAAATGCCAAGTGCGAAGAGGTCCTAGACTTCTTTGCCTCAAAGATTGAAAACATCCACTTGGCTGCATTGTCCTCACCACCATGTCCCCTTCCATCTGAACTGGACCATCCACACCACCTTCTCCCTCTGCTACGGCTCCTGCCACTCCTTACACTCCTTTGCCCCCATTTCTCCCTCCTCCCTCTCAACCATAATCACCCGGATGAAGTTTACCACCTGCTGCCTCAAACCCCTCCCCACCCAGCTGCTGATCAACAAGTGTCTCTCCTTGGGCTCTGTTCCACTCATCCTGAAAACGCTGTGCCTTCGGCCACCCTCCCACCATCCAACCCTCCTGACCCCAACTCCCAGCTCAGGTCCAAAAACCCCGGACTGTCCAGCGCCCTGGGACATCTTTCTGATGTGAAGGGCGCTATACAAGAGTAATTTGTTGTTTCACTTGAAGCAATTTTAATTAACCAGATAAAGTTAAAATACTCTCACAGAATTCAGTAACATTATTTACCTTTGTTTGGCTATATTTCAGCATTTTCCTAGAGAGGCAGGGCTTCCTCCCTCGCATTGCTGTTCCCATTGGACATGAAGAGGACCAATTAGCAGTAACATTGATGTGATTGATAGCCTGCAGCCTCTTGTGAATGGATGGGGGCTCACCTGTCAATCGATCGTGATTTCCCTCCTTTGTTCTGGGGTTCCTCCGCCCCCTCACTGATTGACAGCCCATCTCCCAACAAATTGTGAATGACTGGAGTCCACTGTCAATCACAACTGGACTCCTTCCATCCACTTCCAGGAGCCACTCGTGGTTGAATGGAGGAGCTCAACACCACTGAAGATCCGGGTGAGTACATTGAGCGGCGACCAGATCGGCATTTTGCCAGAAGCAATCGGATTTTTGGCCGAAATAGCAGGCATATTTAAACAGGTAAAAACATAAATGAATCGGGGTCAGACATTTTGTCCGATTTACCTGATGTCCATGATTAACCAGGATCCACTGTTTATATTGAGACAGCTCGAAGATACGATAAGGCACTATATCAAATGCAAGAATTATTACTTTTGTTTATACTAATAAAGACGGAATGTCTATCTGTGTGTGTGTGTGTCTGTCTGTCTGCTAAGAATGCAATAACCGATTGATGTAGAGAAATGATTTATACCTCATCGGAAAGGTCTTGCATGGGGGAAGTATCATGTACATATTTTGTTCAGGAATCTCCTATCGTTGATGAGCTACATTAATAAATGCTTTAATTAAGCTCCAAAATATGAGGTATGCATGGTATTCTGCAACAAAGTAGCAACAGAGGAAATCACACACCCTTCTAGAGAGATACATCAGGAAAGGGACAGAGAGAGAGGGAAGCAGAGAAGAGAGTGGTGAAAAAAATTAAATGCTACACTTTTAAAATTAAATTTCTTCCCCCCCCCAAAAAAAATGATGAGTCCCATAATCTCTCGAGGGTATGAATGAGGAGGTGAAAGAGGGTTTTTTGGAGGAGGGAGTGGGAAAGATGATATGAGCTTGTGTGCGTCTGTGAGTTGAGGGAGGGGAGAGAGAGAGTTAAAGTGAAGCTTGAGGCCTGCTCAGACTGACTACGCACCAGAAGCCAAGAGAGATCCCAGCACAGCTCACACACCGCAATAACACAATTAACGTTATATACTTCACTTATACCTCATCAATTGATACCTCATCGGAAAGGTCTTGCGTGGTGGAATGTTATGGGCATATTTATTCTTTTTTGTGGGGGGGGGCTCCTATCGTTGATGAGCTATGACCTAAATAAACAAGCTCATCACACATGCATGACAGTTTTGCTTAAGATGTACACACAGTCTTTATGGCATGTTAAATGGTTTGTGAGTGGTTTCACTGAAATCTACATTCCATATTGGATCCTTTGGTTGCACAAGCATATATATACACACATGCATACACACACACACATAATAATCCTTGCATTTGATATAGCGCCCTATCACGTCTTCAAGATGTCTTAAAGAATTATGCAGAATACACTGCAAAGTGGAGTGATAATATATTTTGTGGGTGTAAATTTACCCGGCACCCAGTTAAAGCGGCTTCCACTGTATAGCATATAACTCTATATATATATAATATATAGACACATATACACACACACACACACACTAGAAGCCAGTTAAGGTAGACACATCGGGGGTGACCATTTTATAATAATAATAATAATCCGTCTTAAGCAGCGTCCGAGGTTAACCAAAACACCATTATCTCTTCCCACTCAGCAGAGGAGTGACGGTGGTGGTTCCTACCTCCCAATGCTGTGGACAGGATGGGGACCAATTAGCGGTGGCTCCAAGGTGATTGACAGACTTGGAGCCGCTTGTGAAAGGATGGGCACTCCAGCCAATCACAAGTGGCTCCAGATGTCAATCAATCGCAATTTGACTCCTCCCATTCCCTCCCTTGTTTCTTCCCCTTTTTTCTGCCCCCTCATTGTATGATAGCCCAATTCCAGCCACTCGTGAATGGCTGGAGTCTGCTGTCAATCAATCGCAATTTGACTCCTCCCATCTCCATCCTGGATCCACTCAAAACAGAGAAGGGATGAGTGAATACATTCAGTGGCGATCAGCGGGGCACTTTTTCCAAATTTACTGGATTGTACTACGAATTGACCGGCATATTTAAAATGGGTAAGAATACAAATAAATCGGGGCTGAGTTAAAGCAGCTTCCACTGTAGATCATATATATTACACACTTCATGTCATAGATAAAATGACAACATTTGCAACTTAGAAGATAACCATCCATTGGTCTCCAAAAATCCTTCAGATAATATTATATACCTTTCTGTATCATGTAAATTGCTACATAGAGGTTTCTAAACAAAATATCCTGGCTCTGTGAGCTTGATTATCTGTGTCCAAAAATACATAATAATAATAATAATCCTTGCATTTGATATAGCGCTTTTCACGTCGGGAGGACGACCCAAAGCGCTTCACAGAACACACTGTAAAGTGAATTGACTGTATATTTGTGGGCGAACGCGGCAGCCAATTGCGCACAGCAATGTCCCACAAACAGTCGTAGATTGAAAATGACCAATTTATTATTGTTTTTGGTCTTGGAGGGATTATTATTATTAGGCGTGTGGAGTAAGGAAACTTGCCCAAGGTTTCGCCCTGACCTGCCTGGAATTGAACTCAGGTCTCTCGCTTGCAAAGCGAGTGCTCTAACCACTGAGCTACAGGACTCCACCTTAATAATTGGTCCATTGTGATCAAATTTTTCATTTGAATTTCAATTCAAAATAAATGAATTATAAATTCATATAATTGAATTCAGTGATTTGAGTCATAAGAACACAAGTCAACAGAAACTCTTTGGCTTCAATCTTCCTCAAGGAAGTACACAGTTTGCCCAAGCAAAATTATATATCCCACTGTGAGAAAACAATTTAAATATGGAGATTACACACGCATTGCTGTTTTTCAGAAGCAGAAATTCACTAACATAAGGAGAGCAGAAAATCTCTTTACCCATGATCCAGTTTTGGGAGGTGGGCCCCTCAGTCGTCCATATGTTGACCCACGGTTCTCACCAGAATAACCAGAATAATCTTGGTAGTCCACTGAATGGTTGTACTCCTCTGAATGGTAATAATTATAGTCGCAATTGGTACCCCTACCACCTCCACGGTCATAAACATGTCTCCTCTGAATTACAGTAATTGGTCTTTCATATTCTGCATTTCCCTAGGAAAGTAGGCAAAAGGTTTGTGAGTTAACAGTTAACCCAGTGAAAGATAAACATTTAAAATTTTTAATAAACACAATATGGAAAACTAAACGATATTTGCAGTCAACAAGTGTAACAAGCAACCATAATGATTTAAAAATAGAAAATATAGGGGCACCAAAAAGTTGTGATACCATTACAAGTCTTAAAATATGATGATAAACCTTGAATTTGATATAATGTTTTATCACTTCTTCAAGACGTTTCAAAGCATTTCACAGCATATACCGTGCAGTGATTGTGTATTATGTGGGCGAAACATAGCAACCAATTGCGCACAACATTGTCCTACAAACAGTCGTAGAGTGAGGGACTAAATTCTTAGTATCATCTTTTTCAATGTTGTGTGGGGGTTGGGGGAGAGAACCAAGATTCAGTATCTTGGCTCCTGTAGAGGAGGGGGGAGGGAGGGACGGGGCAGAAGAGAGGGAGAGGGGGGGTAAGTAGGGGGTGGGGGGGGAGAGAGAGAGAGAGGGGGGTGGGGGAGAGAGAGGGAGGGGGCGGGAGAGGGACTGGCCACCTCTCCCCTCATCTCCCAACCCGCTTGTGGTTCCATTGCATCTCAAAAGTATTTTGCTATTTATTAGTCGTTCTCCTACATAAAGGACGCTAAAAGGTTCAAGATTCGGTTTGTGGGAATTGTGATCAACATGTTACAGCTATTTGATTTTTTGTGTCAGTTAAAATTATTTGATTCATTTTCATAAAAAACAAAATGACCACACTGTATCCAGGAAATGGCCACAATTCCCCAGGCAATATTTTATTTAATTAAACTTTTCTACAAAATGAAACTCTTGAAAAATCTCATAAAATATTGCTATAACTAAAGAAAATGCAAATGTTTGTAGCTGCTTAATTTCATCAATATGGTATTAACATGGATTCCCATGAATTTCATGTCAACAACACTCAACATCCACACTATAATATTGAATTTAACAACTAATTTGAAGAACTTCTTCTGGATCATGTTCTACGTATAATATACTGTATAAGTAAGTATTTCTGTAAGCATGTGCGCATACAGCTCAGTCACTTCCCACTCTCACAAGAGTTTTTTTTATGTGTCCTCAATTTTGACCCATTTTAATTTCTTTTAATGTGGGCCACAGTGCAAATTTGTCCAGATGAAGATTATATATTTAAATATAGTGCGAAAATTTGACTTGTGAAAATATTTACTTATACAGAGACTGCAACAAAAGGGATGGGGGGGGGGGGCAGGGGGAGTGGGAGAGAAAAGAGTCTCTTTGTAAAAAAAAATTAAACCAGTCAAATTTACCACAGGTTTTCCTCTCCCTGGGTGGAAACGGCCCCGTGGATTTATTTCTCCAAACTGTGATCGCGACTCCGACCACATTCTCTCTTCTGTATGATACAAAGTGAAAAAGATCATAATTAGTGCTTGTCCTGGAACTTTGCAGAGCCATTTAATAAACACTTTGAAGATTGAGAGAAAGAAAGAAATTTGCCTTTCTGGCGGCAAATATGACAGCCATTTTACTCACGGTAAGGACCAACAGCATCCAAGAAACATATGATTTAGAAGATTAGGAGGCAGGAACCTCAAAAGAAAACCCCTTCTCTTTAAATAGTGTCATGGGATTTTTAGCATGCAAATGAAGTCACGCAGATGTGATCTGGTTAAAAAATTCATCCAATCTGTGTCAATGCAGCTGACTACTCGTCCTGGCATTGGCTGGAACCCATTATCTTCTGATGCATTATGAATTCATTATGAGAAATAAACTGAACGTTTTGCAAATGTGCATCAAAATATTGAATAAACATATACAGTTTCTTGTATCACGAGGAGTCAAAGCAAATTATGAATTTCTATTGCACTCATACCAACAATATTGAAGTACAAAACCAAACTAGCAAACTAAGACTTCTAATCAAAGCACCTCAGCCTTTTAAAACATCCTGTAAAATAAATTGTACATGAACAACCACAAATGGCATGGTAATCTTGTGGAATAAGTCAGCCTCAGATGACATGCTAATTCTATGGAGACATGTGTAACCTGAAACAATTCCAATAGGTCGAGGATCTAGGACCTTGAGCAGCACTTAAGACTGGTAAGTCTCCGAGTTAGACACTGGATAGTAGCAAGAAATCTTCAAGTTAAATCATCCCAAATCTGAACCTTCACTTCCAGTACCAAATGGTGCATAGTTGAAATCATGTCAAGAGCATTAAGCCTTGACCAAGTGGTCAATTACAGTGAGAGTGGAGCATTGATTGACTAGGCTGACAGACAACACTGAAAATACAATATCTGAATCGACTTAATTGTGAGCATCAGCTTGGCTCAGTGATAGCACTCTCACATCGAAGTCATAAAATTGTGGATTCAAGTCCCACATCGGGACTTTAACCCAGTCTAAACTGACACTCCAATTTTGTGCTGGGGATTTGCTGCAATGCTGTCCTTCAGATGAGACTTTAAATCAAGGCTCCATCTGCCTGTTCAGGGGTGTTAAAGATCCCATTGCACTATTTGAAGAGACAAAGGAGTTTCTTCTGGAATCCTGACAAAATATCCCCCAAATGCAATTGATCTTTCATTTTATGGCTGTTTGAGGTACATTACTGTGTGCAATAGTGCTGGATTGGTTAGAGCACTTGCTTTGCAAGCGAGATGACCCAGATTCGATTCCCGGGCAGGGCAAAACTTTAGGCAAGTTTCCTTACTTCACACGCCTGTTTCCCTTACAGTTAAAAAAGAACCTGGTTGTTAGTTGATTGGTGGATCACTTGTTGGGGATAATAATCCCTTCAAAAAAATTATAATGAATTGGTCCTTTCAATCCACAACTGTTTGTGGGACACTGTTGTACGCAATTGGCTGACGCGTTCCAACCACAAAATACACAACAATTCACTTTACAGTATATTCTGTGAAGTGCTTTGAGACGTGAGAATGGCCAACATTTCGTACTCCTGGGAATCGAACTTAGGTATCCCGCTTGCGAGGCAAGTACTCTATCACTGAGCTACAGGACTCCACCTGTAAATTAGATCATGATTTAAATCAGATCATGATTTGAAGTCTCATGTGAAGGAATGACCTCCAACAACACAGCATTCCCCAGTATTGAACTGAAGTGTTAACCAAAATAGAGTTCAAACCTGCAGACAGAAACATCCGATCAGGACTCGAGCCCAAGCCCTCGGGTCATTGGATCAAATTCAATACCACCAATGCTCATTTCCACCATAAAATTCCCACACAGCTCACCCTAACCTACAACAACAACAACAACGCATTTGTAAAGCGTCTTTCACGTTGGGAGGATATCCCAGGAAGGTGCTACCCTACGCTTGCAGCCTCCTACAACGTAACCAACCGAGCTGCTCTCTTTGCTTAGCAAACACTGGCCTTCTCCATGTCCTCCACCTTATCCTCCCCAGTATCAGCAGTCAAGCTTTCAGACATGCTGCCCTCACTCTCTGGAACTCCCCCTGACTCGTTCCTCCCCCCCCTTTTTAAAGGTCCATTTTAAGACCTACCGCTTTGACCGTGCTTCTGTTCATTTTCCCCCTTCCCAGCCCTTCGGCTCCGACCCCCACCTCGGTTACCAGGTCAACGGTGCCAAGCGCTTTGAGAAATCCTCTGGACTCGAAAGGTGCTGTATAAATGCAAATTCTATTGCATTACTTACAGATATGCTCATTTAATTTAGATTTACATTGATTGGACACGACAGAAACAAGTCATTCAGTCTAACTAGTCAGTGCCGTTGTTTATTGCCAGTGAGCTCCAAACATCAACAACAACTTGCTATATAATATATAAATAATGTAGCGAATTTCACATCAGGAGGACATCCGACAACAACACACCAGACAAGCAACCGAAAATTCCCGGTTTCAACACTCCAGACATGTGACAAGCAAAGGAGTGCAACAAAAAGCCCCAAACCAGGGCTGTCTGACCAGCAAACAGAGGGGCAGCCTGGCAGACACACAGACAGACAGACACAAGAGGGGCAGCCTGGCAGACACACAGACAGACACAAGAGGGGCAGCCTGGCAGACAGACACACAGACAGACACAAGAGGGGCAGCCTGGCAGACACACAGACAGACAGACACAAGAGGGGCAGCCTGGCAGACACACAGACAGACAGACAGACAGACACAAGAGGGGCAGCCTGGCAGACACACAGACAGACAGAAAAGGGGCAGCCTGGCAGACAGACACAAGAGGGGCAGCCTGGCAGACACACAGACAGACAGACGGAAGAGGGGCAGCCTGGCAGACACACAGACAGACAGACGGAAGAGGGGCAGCCTGGCAGACACACAGATACAGACACAGGGACAGTCTCGTCTGCTTTGAGAAGAATTTGTGTGGCGGCAGCCGAACACCTGGTGCGGCGCGCTCCACCCCCGCCCCGCGTGGCTTTAAATCCCAACCGCTCTCCCTCCGCGAGACACTCGCCGCCTCCCCAGAGCCTGGAACAACGCAGGAAGAGCAGCAGCAGCACCACCTTCACCACACACTCTCTCTCTCTCTGCCCGGCGCCACTCTTATATCGACCATTAAAACTAACCGTTTGGTTTAATATAATAACAGTAAAAAAAAACCCCACATGAACGTGGGACTCGGCCGCTCGAAATAGGCCTCGGAGCGAATTCTCACCGACGGCAGCTCCTCGCTCCCCCCTCCCTCCTCCCCCCGGACCGTCGGGCGCCGTGACGTCACCGCGCGGGCAGATCTCGCGCGAGGTAGACGGAGGAAGACGAGATCGGAGGGAAGGACGCCGCGGGCAAGATGGCGGCCGCAGCCAGAGCAGCTTCCTCCAGTCACCGCTTCTGACTGTGGAATAAAAGCCGCTTCTCGAAAACGAAGAACAAAAAAAAAAAAAGCCCTGAGAAATAATTGTGATTTATGTAAAAAAAAAACCACACAGGTGAAGTGAGTGTTTCGGCGCCTTGGGACGTCCTCCCGACTTGAAAGGCGCTCTATAAATGTCATTTTGTGATGGTGGTGGTGGTGGTTGTTGTTGTGGTGGTGTGAGTAAGTGGTAGCCTCATCTTGTGTGTGTTGAAGGAGGGAGGTTAATGCGCACTTTCCTGCTTACCTAATGCTGCAGAATATTAGGCGCCAAAGGCTTGGGTACCCCCAGAGTGTGTGTTGGGGTACTCCCGGAGTCTGACCAGCTAAAACCACATAGCTTGCCATTGAGAGCACCGTCTGGCAAGCCTTCTCACCGCTTGTCCCATCACACAGAGGATACAGTTCAAGATCCTGGTCCTCACCTTCAAAGCTCTCCATGGTCTTGCTCCCCCCTATCTCTGCAACCTCCTAAACCCTTACGATCCTGCTCAATCACTCTGCTCAGTGGGCTCCGGCCTGCTTCACGTCCCTCGCCTCGCTTGCCCCACTATTGGCGGGCGGGCCTTCTGCCACTCTGCCCCCACCCTCTGGAATTCCATCCTGCAGTCGCTCTGCCTTGCCCCTCCCTTGCCACCTTCAAGAGGCATCTCAAGATCCTCCTCTTCGAGCGTGCCTTCGAACTCCCTGCTTCCCCCGCCCTCCCTGACCCCCAGCTCGGTTCCGAAATTGTCCAACGCCTTGGCTGGCTGGTTTGTCAACAGAATTACCATGTCCCCACCTTGCTCAAGAACTGGACCACCAAGGCCATCACAGAAGGTTGACTTGATTGCAACGTGTCGATGCCAAACATAACTCCCTTGGAGCCAGTTCAACTTCAAGGAGACACCATTTACCTCCCCTTGCCCTCAAAGAATTGTCTCTGATTGTTCATTTGACAATCAACAAGCACAGGTTTGAGCCCTCATTAGGTACTAGGAATTCTCTGAGCTTCCTGGTGGGCTTTGATACCATTGCCACCATCTTCCTTCCCACAGTTCAGACACGCATCCCTACCCATTGAGCAATAGTTCCACCAGTTGGAGGTGCAGGGCTTCTTACCTCTCTGTATACAACAGTATACTGCAGTGTAATCCTGTAGCTTAATGGTTCGAGCACTCCCCTCACAAGTGAGAGGACCTGGGTTCAATTCACAGGCAGGGTGAAAGGTTGGGCAAGTTTTCTTATTCCACACACCTCTGTTTACCTAGCAATAAGTAGTTTATTTGCGGATCGCTTTTCTGGGGATAATAATCCCTCCTTCCAAAAAATAAATATAAATAATAATAATTTGGTCACTCAATCCATGACTGTTTGTGGGACACTGCCCTGGGCAATTGGCTGCCATGTTTTACCCACAAAATATACAGTCTATTCACTTTACAGTATATTCTGTGAAGTGTTTTGAAATGTCTCAAAGACGTATATAAGGTGCTATATCAAATGCAAGGATTATTATATTAAATGTTCTAGTGTGCTTCCATAGAAAATAGGTAGAATTATGAAGCTTTCAGTCCTTATTTTGATAAACATGCTGTAATATAAATTGTTTTATAGAATATCAGTTTTGTACAGATCAAAAAACAGACCTTTATAGAATAATAATCCTTGCATTATAGATGTGAATAAAATAATAGTACCTTGACTTAATTTCCCCCCTTCACCCCAAAAAGGCAGTGCAACAGGTCCAGTGAACCCTGCAGTTGATTTGCAATCTGAAGTGTTACTGTACTTCAAGATGGTGCGCTGCATGGAAGTGAGTTGCTCAATCTCCATCAGAAGCTCAATTTATTTAAACAGCCACCATGCTGCTCTCTGAAATAGCTATCCATTTCCTCCCACTCTCTTATTTTTTTCTTTTTCAAATATTTTGCTGTAGAAATGGAGATTTACATTATCCTTCCCAATTAAATCTTGTGTGTACACCAACTAGTCCCTTATTATTGCCAGCAGGTTGGGTTCAGTCAGGTGACACTCTGGAAAAACCTGCCAGTGATGTGCTGTGATCTAAGTTATGTACACCTAATTTGTTTTGCTTTGTTTCTGTAGCATTATTTCAGTTCAAAGTTCAGCAAATCTGGAAAGATGGCAGATCTAATTTGAACAATTCATGAACAATAAAGAGTTTAATCTGTTATATTGAGATGTTGCCATGAAAGCTGTTATCTCTCCCAATTTTCCATTTTCAATCCACAAAGTGCTTTTGACCCAAAGGTCTGTCGAAAACTTAATTAACCTTGCCTCAAACTATCTTTACAGTATACTTTTGCTCAGACACATATCCATAATATTTTATTTTCCTCTGGTTGTGTAGTTATAGGTATCAGATTAAAAATGAACTGAATTTTGCCTTTGTTTCTCTTACAGTGATAAAGGTTTGTTTTACGATTTTTTTCTCTCTTTGTAGTTGCTTGTGAAGAAAAATCAAATAAGGAAGAAAAATGAGTGGTGGATTAGCACCAAGCAAAAGCACAGTATATGTTTCCAATTTGCCATTTTCACTAACTAACAGTGACCTGCACAAGGTAAAACTATCCCTTTTAACAATTGTATAAGCAGGGTGGAGCATTGTGATTTAGCAAGGAAACATGGCAAATCATTGGGTTTGTGCAGTGGGTTTGTGACAGATATTTGTTTTCTACCTTCCCGGATTTGAGGCTTCAAACAAATGGGTAGATTTTCTCACTAAAATTTCGAACTTAGGTGAGTTTCACACAAAGAATTGGGATGGGACTGACTATTTCAGAAATTTACAGAATGGTCTTAAAATGCCTAAAAGTCTGTTGTCATATTTCTCGAGTTAAACAAGACATTAAACTGGAATGACAATCCACAAGGGAGTTAATGTATCGTGCTAAACTCGTAAGAATTCCCTATTGTGATCTTTTATAAATTGTGACCAGTTTCAGCTCCAAATGATCCTTGTCATGTTGAGTTCACATTAAAGGCCCTTCCCCAGCCTGGTGAACAACATAATAACACAATGAATGTGCAGTGACCTTTGGCAAGTGACCTTACATGCACCCACTTTCAAGAACAATTGGTGTTTGATTTATACAATGCCCAGTTTCTGAAAATCTTCATTAATGAATGAACATTGGAGCAAGTGACCAAATTACACACTGGGAACTAATATTTGTACATTTTTTATTTTAAATTAATTTGTGGCAAAATACTTTCATTTCAGATTTTTACCAAGTATGGCACAGTTGTTAAGTAAGTAAAATATCTTGTGTTTTTAATTTTATATTTCTTGAGCAGCTGACTTTCATTTTTGGAGGAATTACAAAAAATGAGACATTTCGACTAGTGTTTAGGCCCAATATCAAATGCAAGAATTATTATTGTAACTGGTTGCCCTGCACATTTCCTGACATTTTGTGTTGGAGAAATTAGTGCTGACTTGTAAATCTGGCAATGGCTGAAATACAATCGGTCATGTGTTGGTTTGGTGATGTGATGCACCATTATGAGATTTTGAAGCTCCACAATTTAGTCTTTTGTTTCAAACAACACGGTTAATAAACCAGATTTGAAGCTTTAAATTGACTTAAAGAGTGTCTCATAGTTGCTGAGATCATGTCTTTTTTTGCAGAGTAACAGTGCTGAGGGACAAGGAAACTAGAAAAAGTAAAGGTGTGGCATTTGTACTTTTCCTGGACAGAGAGTCAGCATACAACTGCACAAGAGCACTTAACAACAAGCAAGTGGGTTTAGAAAACAAAATCAGAATTCTAGTTTTATCAGATTTTACAACCAGATAACAATTTGGGATCCTTTGTAACAAACATTGTCATGTAATGTATTTCAATTTAAATGCAGCTGTTTGGCAGAATGGTGAAGGCAAGCATTGCAGTTGACAACGGAAGAGCTTCTGAGTTTATTAGAAGAAAGAATTACACTGACAAATCCAGATGTTATGAATGTGGAGTGAGTATCAAACCATGAATTTGTCAAACCAGCCATTAACTGCACAGAAAACTTAATAATTCTCACCAAGTCCGAATAACACTTTTTATAAGATTATGTAGTCTCATGCAGTAGTGTATGTTGAATTTAATTTTAAGATGTCAGATGATACATTGTCATTCCACAACTTGATACAATTTAGCTTTTTGTAAGACAATTCTGTAACTGATAGCAGAAAATCTATACCTTTTTAAAACTTAACCATCAAAAGTGCCCTATTGCAACTGTTATATCTATTATTACCTGTCAACAGTCTTAATGATCAGAACCATGGATGAGATGCATAATTATTAGTTATCTTTTTGGATATACAATTGTCCAAACGTTCCATGGTGGTGCACATCAGTGGTGCAGTATCTGTAAAATTGGACACACAATAATATCTTATAAATGCATGGCAATGGGTTGTAATTTGAAATTTTGTTTTATTGTGCTGGATCCATAGTTGAGAATCTAGCTAATATTTCCTTGATGCTTTGCAAGTGAAAGAATGTCATATGTACCTAATTTATTTCAGCAACAACAACAAGATTCCATTTATAAAGCGCCTTTCACGTCAGGAGGACGTCCCAAGGCGCTGGATAACAATACACTATGTGTAGAGTAACAAAAGATGGATCTGCTGCCAGTTCAATATATCATGATATTTATAAAAAGGCGATTTATGCTCTCCCAATTTAACATTCACTCAACATTCAGTTGTATGAATCAACCCTAACTCTTTGAAAGATGACAAAAGGCAGATTTCCTTGTCTTTTTAATTTTGATGAAGGTGTTTTATTTTTCTCAATAGGATTCTGGACACTTAAGTTACGCTTGCCCAAAAAACATGCTTGGAGAACGAGAGCCTCCCAAAAAGAAAGAGAAAAAGAGAAAGAAGAAAACGACCGAACCAGAGGAAATGTTCGTACATCATAATGTGAACAGATGTTCTCAGACCAGGTTTTCATTTTGATTAATGTTCTGAAACAATGCTTATGTATTTTCAGTGAAGAGGAGGAAGAGGAAAGTGAAGATGAAGGAGAAGACCCTGCCCTTGATAGCCTGAGCCAAGCTATTGCTTTCCAGGTATATAATTTCAACAAAATACTCTAGCTTCAATTATAGTGCAGTAAACAAATCACAGCAACTGTTCTATAATTTCACTTTATCTTGGTTTCTGTACAGTATATTGATGTACAAGTCCGCAGTGCATAACCTTTATATTTTATTTCCCTGTAGCTTTGAAAAAAATATTGCAAATGTTCTACATTTTGTCTCGCTATTTGGCGGTACTTGTTTGATTGATGGTTCAAAATACTTTATTGGTTGATTGGTTTCTACTTTATAGCCTTGCTTGAGAATACATTACAAGATACTTTGGAAACATGATGGGGATATTAACCACTTTCTTCACTGTATTTGCTTTTCTTCAAATTCGCTGCAGAAATTCATAAAAGAAACAAAATTCTGAATTGCCTCACAAAGAACTTACTTTTTGTTTGAAATACCTAAAAAAAAATCTTTGCATTTGGTACAGTACCTTATTATGTTGAAATGTCTCAAAGCATTTCACTGTAATAACTGTTACGCGAAGTGACTGTACTAACAGAAATCTTCATAGCTTAAGAACCTCCTTTGCTGCAATGTTCTGTTCCATAGCCAACTGTGGGAGGCTGTAGCCTTCACTACAGTGGAGTGAATCAACTCCAAGGCTTGGAGTTGATCCAAAACCAGAAAAGCACGGTTAAATGTGAAGGAATAACCAGATTGCACTGTGATTTCATGGGGTTGAGCAGCTTTGGATCTTCCCTGAAGATTACATTTTATTTTGTTAAAAGCCTCATCAAAATACTAATCCATAACTTTCATAACAGTCCTGTTTATGGATCTTGGGGAGGAGGTAGAGGCGGGCTGTGCATGGCAGGTGGGGCTATGAAGTTGGATGCTGTGGGAGGAAGCTCCCCAAGTTCTGACGAAGGATTGTGGACCCGAAACATTGACTCACTTTCCTTTCTCCATAGATGCTGCTTGACCTGCTGAGGTGTTCCCAGCAACTTGTTTTTGTTTTCAGATTTCCAGCATCTGCAGTATTTTGCATTTTACTTTCATAACAATGTATGATAAAAATGTTTTCTTTGGAGAGAAAAGAATCTGTGCATGATTTACATCACCCTCATGGTTGAATAATGTGAAGTCACTTAATAATATAATAATAATCCTTACATTTCATACAACACCTTATCATGTTGTGGAGTCCTGTAGCTCAGTGGTTAGAGCACTCGCTTTGCAAGTGAGAGACCTGAGTTCAATTCCAGGCAGAGGGCGAAACCTTGGGCAAGTTTCCTTACTCCACACGCCTAATAATAATCCCTCCAAAAAAAAAACCAAAAACAATAATTAAATTGGTCATTTTCAATCCACGACTGTTTGTGGGACATTGCTGTGCGCAATTGGCTGCCGCGTTCGCCCACAAATATATACAGTCAATTCACTTTACAGTGTGTTCTGTGAAGCGCTTTGGGACGTCCTCCCGACGTGAAAAGCGCTATATCAAATGCAAGGATTATTATTAGGATTATTATTATTATGTTGTTGAAAGTCTCAAAGTCCCATTTTACTGTGAAGCACAGTGACTGAATTTATAAGCGAACTTGGCAGCCACTTTGTGCAGCTCAATTTTGCACAAACATGTAAGAAAGGGCTAACTAATTCTATTTGTGGAATTGTTGGCCAGGACAGGGGAGAAACTCCCTATTAGGACACTGAACACATTTAAATAACAGCTTGATGCTATGATGGGAGGACAGTTGGGTGGGTATTCAGGAAAGGATGAGATCAGATGGGCCAAAAGGCCTTCATCATCCAAACTAATCTTGTGATTGAATATGCTGAGATCAACTGTAACTCAAGTCAAATGCAGGATTATTGCTTCTTTTTGTTGACTTTACTGTGGTCTTGATAGTACTGTAGTTCATCTTTCGTGCTGTCATGTGACTGTTATGAGAATAAACATAAAAGGGTTTAGTTTCTAACTGAGAAAGTGATTTTTAAATAAAGTACAATTGTACAAAACCTTTTATCACTGCTCTCATATTGTTCATTCCCTGTGCAATTTTAATGTCAGGCATAATATTGTACTGTACTTAATAATAATAATCCTTGCATTTGAGATAGCGATCTCATCACGTCTTTCAGGCATCTCAAAGCGCTTCACAGAATATACTGTAAAGTGAATTGACTGCATTTTGTAGGCAAAACCCAGCAGCCAATTGCACACAGCAATTGCCTGCCGCATTTATAAAATCAAAGGTGTGATCAATCAAACCAGGTTAAGATTAGTTTTATGTTAAATTATGTCCTAGCCATCAATCAATAAATAAAATTGGTCATTCACTTTATGGATGTGGGACATTGCTGTGCGTAAATTAGCTGCCATTTTTCCCTCCAGAAATACACAGTGATTGCACTTTACGGTAAATATTGTGAAGTGCTTTGAGACATCTCGAAAATTTGTTAAGACATTTCTGAATTTGATAATATATACAATATCAATAATATCCAGAAAATGATTTTAGTTTTGTTCTTGTTTTAAACAGCAAGCAAAAATTGAAGAGGAGGAAGTTAGACGTCAACAGACTGCTGATGACACAGGGGAATCGTCAGCGTCCGATCTATCAAGGCGCCCCCGGATAAAGAAGAGCGCCTATTTCAGTGATGAAGAAGAGCTGAGTGACTAGAAATTGGGATCTGAGCAATGGAAAGCACCATTGCTCGTAAAAGGAATCCAACCTGGAGATCTGATACCAGAAAAGCAGGTTAGGTTTATTTAGGTTACTGCCTTGAAGCTCCTATGGAGGACGAACAATATTTACAACAAATTGGATGCATTTGTTTGTTTCTATTTTTGCAAATTGGAAGTGCATTTCTTCATAAAACTATTTAATAGACTTTGCTGTACAAGGCTCTTCTATTAATAGACCGTGCTGTGCACTCTTTTTCCCTACCCACACACACATACAACACACACACAGCTTTGCAGGCCCACCACAGATGGGAGAGAGGGCTGTGGACCACACACAGCAAGAATCTTGACCCTTTGTCTGCTGGAAATTTTGCCGATTCAACAGACCTCTCTCAATGTGTCATTCATGTTACTAATTGGTTAAAGAAAACCTCATTGCCATGAGTCACAGATGCATAAGTTAGTCTTGTGCACATTCATTTAGAAAACAAGATGCTTGTTTTCATTCCCTTGGAATTCTCTTCTTGAAACTGTTTACGCAATTTAAATAAAATGTAATTATTTCAGCCATGGTGTGAGGTGTGACTTCTGATGAAATAAATAATGGAATACTTTGTATGCTACTAGCACATCATGTGCTTCCACTGAAGTACCTTGTGAAATATAATATTTTCGTTTAGTAACTTTGCTTAATACCTTATCGTCCCTGACCCCAGCTCGGGTCTGAAATGCTGTACATTGTCCAGCACCTTGGGAAGTCCTCCCGACGTGAAAGGCGCTATACAAATGTAATCTTGTTGTTGTTGAAGTTGACGATCATTTACACTTCTGGAAAAAAATAGTAATTGCACACATTTGAAAGTTTGAGTTTTTGACTTGAAATATTGTTGACCCATATTAGACATACCTGAAAATCAGAAATACAGTCCAGGTCCTTGTCGAAACTTGAAATTTAGTGAATATCAATTCAATGAACAACAAAGAAAGGAAAATTGTTTCCTACCTCTCACTTTCTATCCATCCAAATGCGATAACTTCAAGGGTACAGTTTCACAACCACTTGGAACTCTGAGCCACACTCACGTCTTAATGCTTGACCTTAGGCAATGAATGATGACAGGTTATACAAATGTGGGAAGAAGATAGACATCAAGTTCAACCACTCATATCTTCAATTAATACCCACAAGTTATTTTTCCTCAGGATAGTAAAAAGGGATTGAGTGTGAAGCTTGAGTAAATACATATTCCCTTCCTCTCTTTAGCAATGGATTGTTGATTAAACAGATTCTGTGTCCATGAGTAATGAACTGGCCAAAATGTGATAGCCAAACATTTTATCTCGAGTAAATCTTAAGCAAATGGTTGAAAGATTCTTTCTTTTGTCATGAAGGTTGTTTCCTCACCTTGGACAAACACATCACATCCTGTGTATACCAAACTTCTGGTTAGCCCCAGAAGAACAATTACACATGTGGTTTCCTAGAAGAACTGACTGGTTTACCATCACCTGGTAACTTGTGTATCTCCACCCTTTGAAATGTGTCATTGTGAAAATTGTAACCTCACAGGAAAGGCAGATTATGAGATGGTACCTAACTTTACATCATCCTCTTTATTGGTGGTTTTGCTTGGAGTGGCTCAGTTGCCTCCTGGCCAGAGCAAAATGCTCTTCTCGTTTTTACTTCTTCATAAATACAACTTTATCTATGCAATCTATTTTATCCTTTTTCATTTTCAGAAGGATTTGGGGACCACTTTGCTCTCGACCATGGCAGACAAAGACATGGTGGTCAATTTTACCAAAAGGCAATGTTCCTATCAGTTCTTTCAGTTTGAGTTATGGGCACAACATCTTGCCTCTTAAGTCAGAAGGTAGTGGGTTCAAGTCCCAGGTTGGGACTTTGAGCTTCAAGTTGAGGTTGAAACACTAATACAGTGCTGGGACAAGCGTGCATTGTTGGAGGTGCTGTTCAGATAAGAAATTGAGGTCCCATCTGACTGTTCAAGTGGATGTTAAAAATCGCATGGCATTATTCCAAAAGAGGACATTTCACCCAGTGTCCTTGTCACTAATCTTCCACCAGAAGAAAATTGGTCATTCACTGCATGGCTGTTTGTGGAACATTGCTGTGAACAAACTGGCTGTTGAATTTGCGGTCAACAGATGCAGGCACTAGCCTTTACAACCTATCGTGCAGCTCTTTGAAATGTCCTCCTGGCAACAGGAATAGTGCTATGTCAAATGCAACTACTATATTCATCCACCTCCTGGACACCTTACAGCCCTCTGGCCTCAACATTGATTTCAACCACTTCAAACCCTAACCATGGCTCCCATCTTCTCTCAGCTTTGCCTGCACCCTCCTTCTATAAACATTAACACATCCCCTGGTTCTTAGACAAATCTGTTTGTTCTATAATCTCCCTATTGCCTTTTATCATCCGTCCTCTTATCTAAAAATGTTTCCTTTTTCTGTCTGTGCCCCCTTTTCTGCTTGTCCTTATAATCTGCTCCCTTCCAACAGCCCCCAGTTCTGACAAAAGGTCATAGACCTGAAACATTAACTAATTTTCCTCTCCATCGATGCTGCCTGACCTGCTGCATATTCCCAGCGTCTTTTGTGTTTATACTATATTTTTCAATTGATTTCTCAACTTGGTGTGAAATACCCTGAATGTTGTCACAGGGGGATTGCGATGCACCTTTTGTTCTTCTTCCAATTTCTTGTAATGAGTTTTCACATTAATCCATCCATCTATCACTTCAAGTTGGCAACTGCTGCAGACAATATTTGATGTTTCAAAACCAATGCAAAGTGATTAGAAATGGGAGGGATATGCTTTAATTATTGGAAAACTATTTAAAAGACATAGGAAACAGTGGAGTGAGAAATGCAATAGTTGAAGACAATAAATGTGATTACTTCATCATCCTTAATCTTAATCTTCTGAATTGATTTATTGGATGAATGAATACAATGCAGTTCATCCATAAAGTGCTGTTCCTATATGCAGTTTGTGATGTTTATTCCTGTGTAAATGGCATTACAGAGGAAGGATATTGAAAAAGCTATTTTATATTGGTAATTTCAGTAATAATGCCTGTTTACTGTAAATTTATTTAAAAAAGTATCAAAATACTAGGATTTCAATTTGTTCTTGCAGCTGCCACCCACCTGCTGACTCTAATAGCTTATTAACCTGCAGGTTTGTGCATTCTTTCCAACAGTTTGCTTTCTGATCCTATATCCAGGTTTCATAAAGAAGCTGATTTCATTCGGAACGCTTTCTCAAAGCAGTGCCATTTTATACGATTCCATGTTCTGCGTTCAGTGCATCTCCTAGGTTTATTACTCAAAGATTTATTTATTTTTCTTCATGAAACTCCAAGCAATTCTTTTCATCAGGATCTCTCTCTGGGTTCAACTTTCAATACTTTCATAGAGACTTGACTATGCATTTTCCACAAAAGAAGCCAGTCATACATAAGTGGAATTGATATAAGCAATGTACAAATATGGTGATCTGACAGAATGGCAGCAAGGGTATGAAGTGGGATGAATAGACCAATATATATATATATATGCTTGCGCTACAGGTCAACCTAAATTGGAAATTTCACACTTCCAATTGGATGAAAATAGGACATGAGTCAAGTAGCAAGTGAATTATTTGAGTTCACAAATCAATGGTACTTTAAGGAAAGGGGAAAAAAATTGTAAAGAAAAAAATCAACTTTACAATTTTTTTGGATGACTTGTTGAGTAAATGCACATTTTGAGTTTTGCAGGTCTGATTCTCAGTGGCTACTGAGCTTGTATCTCAGCAAGAGAATGGTGGTGTGAGACCCACAGTAATCTGACTCGTAGATTAAAACAAATGGTTTCTGCTTCTGATCATTGTACCTGCGCCTCTTCCATCTTGTTCATGTTGATTGTGATTACCTGAATGGGCAAACTCACCGGCAACAGGCTTCCAGACTTGAGAAGAATGTTTCCTGAGGTGCAAAAAACACGCAGGGAACCATGGCCTCACATTACTATGTTTGGGAGAGGATGATAAAGGGATGGCACATTGTGTTATGGAGGAATTTTGTGACTTGAGACCAGTCTTGGGTGAATCCTTGCTCGGTTGGATCAGATAGTATTGGTACAACAATATAGCGCCCTTCATGAGGGGCAGTGTCTCAGAGCACTTTATAGATGCGTTCAAGAGGAAGCTGGACCTCCATATGAGGGAGATGGGAATAGAAGGATATGGGAAGGAGGAAGGAATCGGTGAGGATTTGTGTGGAGAATAAACACCAACATGGACTAGTTGAGCTGTGTGTCCTGTTCCTTTGCTGCAACTTTTTAGTAATTATTTTTAGCAACAATAACTTGCACATATATAGCGCCCCTCTCGCAGGATGGCGTCCCAGCGCGCTTGACAGTGGTGGAGCTTGCCGCCAAGCCGTGGGGAGGTAACTGTAGGTACGGCCGAAGAGGAAGCATCTTATCACCGTGAAAATCAGTTCACATAAGCTTCTGCAAAATGTAGTGACTATTTCGTAGAGAACGTGGCAGATAATGTGCACACAGCAGCCTCCTACAACATAGCCATTTTTTTTTAAAAGCTGGAGATTAATGGCCGGAACATTCCTTAAATATCCACCTGAACAAGACTGGAAGGGAGGGTGATTTGTTCTTACTTTTACTTCCATCTCCAGTGCAGTTTGATGACTTGCATTTGCCGTGTTTTTTTAAAAAAAATAATGGATTTTTTGCCCACAAACGCAGTCAGTCCAATTCACTTCACGGTATATTCCGTGAAGCTCTTTTGAGACTCGAGGAAGTAGAAAAGCACTACATCAAATGCAAGGATTATGATGGTGATGATGATGGTGGTGATGATGATGATAATTATTAACCAGGAGGGGGGGGGGGGGGGGGGTGGATTCAGGAGAAACAAAACAACATACGATTGCATTTCCTCAGGGTTTCAACTCAGTGAAGCAGCCAAACCGACCCCAGTGCTCATCACTGTATCCGCTATTGGTTACAGTCGGCGGCTGATGCCTTGACTGACTTGATGATGCACCGCTTTATAGCGCGGGGGAGGAGGAGAGGAAGGGAAGGAGGGAAGGAAGGAAGGAGGGGAGGGGGGGGGGGGCGAGAAATGCAGGAGATTGAGCGAGCAATTCAACCGCTAAAAATCGCGGGACCACCGACGATGCATTCGGTTCTCTCTCTGGAATCGACGGCCCCCTTTTTCGCTCCCGATCGTGGGTGTGGGGGGGAAGGGGAGGGGGGAGGGGGGGGGGGGTCAGTGGCGGAGGGGCAACCAGTCCATTGAATGCAAAACAACCCCCCACCACCACCTCCACCACCACCTCCTCCTGCAATGTGCATTAACACTGGTGGTTGCATCGGCAGCTCCTCCATTCAAATGTCTCCCCAGTCTCTCTCTCTCTCTCTCCTCCTCCCCCCATGTGTCGGCCCGTCTCCTGCTTCCGCCCCGTCCAATACTAACCACGTCCACCTCCGTCAACATGTCTTCCTGTCACCATGTGTTCACCACCTCCTCCTCCATCCACTACAGTGACTCCCAACTCCCTGTCTCTCTCTCTTTCCCACCCAAGTGTCAGCCGCATCTACTCTGCAGTGTCTCCCCCCCCACCACCACCACCATGTGTTTACCGTTCTCCTCTCCCCCTATGAGTCTGTCCCCACTGTTCTCTCCCCCTCGTGTTTGCCCCCACACTCCCTCCCCCATACATTTGTCCTCTTCCCCCATGCGTTTGCCACCTCTCCTCTCCTCCCAATGTGTTTGACCCCACTCCTCCCCTGAGGGGGCAAACGCATGGGGAGTGTTTGCTCCCTGTCTTTGTCCCTCCCCTCTTCCCCCATTGCCTTTGCCCCCCTCTTCCCCCATTGCCTTTGCCCCCCTTCCCCCATTGCCTTTGCCCCCCCTCTTCCCCCATGCCTTTGCCCCCCTCTTCCCCCATTGCCTTTGCCCCCCCTCTTCCCCCATTGCCTTTGCCCCCTCTCTTCCCCCATTGCCTTTGCCCCCTCTCTTCCCCCATTGCCTTTGTCCCCATTCCTCCAAGAAAGGCAGGCAAACATGTGGGATGTTTGCTCTGTCTTTAACCCTCTCCCAGATGCGTTTGCCACCTTGCGTCCCCTCGTGCCTTTGCCCCCTCGTCTCCCTCGTGCCTTTGCCCCCTCTTGTCTCCCTCGTGCCTTTGCCCCCTCTCGTCTCCCTCGTGCCTTTGCCCCCTCTTGTCTCCCTCGTGCCTTTGCCCCCTCTCGTCTCCCTTGTGCCTTTGTCCCCTCTCCTCTCCCGTGCCTTTGCCCACTTCTTTTCTCTCCCGTGCCTTTGCCCCCACTCCTCCCCTCGTGCTTTTGCCCCCACTCCTCCCATCGTGCTTTTGCCCCCACTCCTCCCCTCGTGCTTTTGCCCCCACTCCTCCCCTCGTGCCTTTGCCCCCACTCCTCCCCACGTGCCTTTGCCCCCACTCCTCCCCTCGTGCCTTTGCCCCCACTCCTCCCCACCCCCCATGCCTTTACCCCCCCCGTGCCTTTGCCCCCACTCCTCCCCCCCCGCGCTTTTACCACAACTCCCCCGTGCCTTTGCCCCCACTCCTCCCCAATGCATTTGCCCCCTGAACTCCTCCCACGCCCACCCCCCCCTGTTCATGACCCAACTGTGCAGCGCCTTGGGACGTCCTCCTGACGTGAAAGGCGCTTTATAAATGGAATCTTGTTGTTGTTGTTGCATTTACCCCCTGAACTCCTCCAGCCTATGCATTTGCCCCCTCCATCATGCATTTGCCCCCTCTCCCTCCCGCAAGAGAAGAGGCAAACACATGGGGAAGAATCCCCACCCCCCCCACACACACCCCCTATTCTCCTCCTCGGGCCCATGTATTTGCTCTCTCCCCCCCCTCCTATGTATTTGCTCGCTCTCCCCCTCCCCATGTATTTGCTCCCCCCCCTCCCCATGTATTTGCTCCCCCCCCTCCCCATGTATTTGCCCCCCCCCCTAGTATTTGCTCCCCTCCCCATGTATTTGTCCCCCCAGTATTTGCTCCCCCTCCCCATGTATTTGCTCCCCCCTCCATGTATTTGCTCCCCCCCCAGTATTTGCTCCCCCCCCAGTATTTGCTCCCCCCCCTCCCCATGTATTTGCTCCCCCCCATGTATTTGCTCCCCCTCCACTCCCCATGTATTTGCTCCCCCCTCCCCATGTATTTGCGCCCCCCCCACTCCCCATGTTCCCCCCCCAGTATTTGCCCCCCGCCCCATGTATTTGCCCCCCATGTATTTGCTCCCTCTCCCCCCCCCCATGTATTTGCTCCCCACTCCCCATGTATTTGCTCCCCCCCCAGTATTTGCTCCCCCCCCCATGTATTTGCTCCCCCCCATGTATTTGCTCCCCCCCCCACTCCCCATGTATTTGCCCCCCCCCATGTATTTGCTCCCCCCCCAGTATTTGTCCCTCCCCATGTATTTGCTCCCCCCCCCTAGTATTTGCTCCCCCCCCCCATGTATTTGCTCCCCCCCAGTATTTGTCCCTCCCCATGTATTTCTCCCCCCCCCTAGTATTTGCTCCCCTCCCCATGTATTTGTCCCCCCCCCAGTATTTGCTCCCCCTCCCCATGTATTTGCCCCCCCCATGTATTTGCTCCCTCTCCCCCCCCCCATGTATTTGCCCCCCCCCATGTATTTGCCCCCCCCCCATGTATTTGCTCCCCCTCCCCATGTATTTGCCCCCCCCCCATGTATTTGCCCCCCCCCCCATGTATTTGCCCCCCCCCCATGTATTCCCCCCCCCCCCATGTATTTGCCCCCCCCCATGTATTTGCCCCCCCCCCCATGTATTTGCTCCCCTCCTCCCCATGTATTTGCTCCCTCCCCCCCCCCTCCCCATGTGTTGGCTCCCGAGCGCCTTGTGCTCGGGGGGTTCACAGAGCGAGGGCGGCGCTGGTTGGCCCGGGTTCGCCACGTGACGCGAGTCACCGGACAGCTGGGATCCAGGCGCGAGCAGAGGAGCCCTGAACCATTCGGACGGGTTTGTGATTTTAATCCTAATACTAAGATATTTTGTAATAAAAAAAAAGGGGACTTACCGCTATGGGAGACAAGAAGAGCCCGACCAGGTAGAGTGCTTTCGAACCTCCAGGCGAGAGAAAAAAAAACCAAACACGCGTCTCTTTCGAGGGGGGGGGATTTTTTTTTCTTAATTGTGCAATTTTCCGAGTGCAGGGACTGGAGCACAGGCAGTGCTGGAACCGTCGTACAATGTAGCAACAACCATGGCGGCCGGGCGGCTGGTTACAGTGCTCCGTGCGTGCGTGTGTCTGTCTGTGTGTGTGTGTGTGTGAAATCTGAGATGGAGGGAAGGAGGAGGAGGAGGTGGTGGGGGGAGAGAGAGAGAGAGGAGTGGGTGGGTGGGGGTGAGGGGGGTGTGGAGGGTGGGTTATGCTGAAAGGAGCTTCTCTTTTTATTTATTTATTTATTTATATATATATTTATAAAAACACCCCCCACTCCCTCCCTCCCTCCCTCATTACATTCAATAGATGCAAGAAAAAAAAATCCCCCCCCCCTCACCCCCACAAGAAAGAAACGACGACTGTCTGTCTCTGTCTCTGTCTGTCTGTCTGTCTGTCTGATCAGGCGTTTTTTTTTGAAAAAAAAATGAAAAAAAAAATCCTTTTGTTGTCCAAACAGACCCAAAAGGCAGCCGAAGCCTTCCACAGACGAGGGATACTGGGACTGTAGTGTTTGCACATTCAGGAACAGCGCAGAGGCTTTCAAATGCAGTATGTGTGATGTCAGGAAGGGCACATCAACACGGTGAGTCTTTGCACTTCCTCTCAATATATTGCATTTCATTTTGCATCATGTGAATTAGTGTTGAGGGATATGGTTTACCAAGAGGGAAATTTTGTGCTTTTTTTTCTCTATGCAGTTTTTATTCATAAATGTTGAAAACTCCATTTGCCCTTTCAGACACTTGATCTGCATTATCACTTTTGCAGATTGAAAGCCAGCTAACCAGGTAGATAAGTCTCTGAACGAAACTGTTTTTGTAATATTTACTTGGCTTCTTTATGATATTGCCGGTAGGGGTTATTGATGTTTGACACTGGTAAGGAAGTCATTTAACCTAACCACAATACAGTGTCATAAATAGATTGTATTCAAAAGGTGTTACAGTCTCAAACTGCTCAAAGAGGACAGCAATTATTTCAAGGGTTCCCAGAAAATACACCAATTGAAGTTAATTTTTATGTAGGATTACATACAGACAAGTAAATTTTAGTGACTATCTGTATGCATTGAATTGATTCCTTTTTTACGTCATGATCTTATTTTCTATTTTCCTTCTGAGCTACTGCCTTCAAACAATCTCCCTTCACTTGGAGGGTGGGCAGGTGAGCAAGCTGTGACTGTCACTATGACTTAAACCTGTCCCCTGAATTCAGCCAACAGAAAGCACACATGAAGCAGGGCAAAAGGGGCAACACTATCACATAATTATATCAGGTGAAGCTGCAATAAGGTGAAACAAAGGAGCATGTCATGTTTATTTGTTTTTTTTATAAAATGGTGGTAATCATTGTTGAATATTCAAAAGGTATCATGGTTTCTTCCCACCCCCCAACTAAATCATTTGGGAGCCATTGTCGAAATAACACTTTGGGTGGACTGATTTTTAATTTTTTTTCTGCAGGATTATACATAAAGCATTGGACTTCATGTTGAAATTGGATTATTGATCAGAAATTACAATTAATTTTATTTGAACTTGAGGTGTGGATGACCAGGTTGGATGGGGTAAGGGGGCAGGTGGGAGGAGAGAGAAAGACGCACACAGACAAAGAAAGCTGAATTTGCATCAGAAACTCAATCATTAGCCTGGGATGCTTCAGCAGTCATGTCATTAAGCTCTCTGTGTGTATTTTAATTTTGCTGCTTTGCAGTGCCTGGCATCAGTGTAAATCGTAAATAAAATCAGGAAGTACATCATGGAAAAATAACTTGACTTTATAAATGGGGCTTGAGGTTATTAAGGGACATGGCCTCAGTTGTTAGGGCTGGGCATTGGGCTTGCTGGAGATCACAGATCAGTTGAGCAAGGCCATAAAGGTATTTAAAGGTGAAGATCTTGGTTGATCTGCTAGGCGATAGGTAGCCAATGAATTTGTGCGAGATTGCAGAGTTCTGGAGCTCAGGAGGCAGCAAGTACAGCTTTGTAGAAGTTGAGTCTGAAGTTGACAAAGAAATTGGACAAGGGTTGGACATCCAGTTGTGCTGGAGGCTGGAAATGTTGTGGAGATGGAAGAAAACAGCTTTGGTCATTGTCGGGATGAAAGATTTTAAGTAAAGTTGAGAGGTGAATAAAACACCAAGGTTTTGCATACTCTCCCAGAGTTGGTGGAGCAAAGTGGTCAGCTTCTCAGATGAGGAGGCATTGACAGGAGCCGACTATGATAGCTTTAGTTTTTTGTCAATGTTGAATTGGAGGAAGTTGAGGCTCAATTGAATTAAATGGTGGGACAATTTAAACAGACTCTTCCTTTGATTTGTTCCATTTCTTCTGTTGTAAAATTCAGCATTAACAAATATTTATTCACAAATATTGATTGTACTGTAAATTAAAGGATATGACTCATGTGCTATTTTGCTGCTAGCCACATAGTGTAAGAAATGAGTATGACTCATGCGTGAGTTTTTTATACTTCGAGAGCCAATTGGAGCTGATCATACATAGGAACATTAGAATGTACAAGACTTGAAATTAACATTGTGGGTCGTTCATACATACTAAAGTATAAAAGGATACAAGTACAAGAAATACAACAGTGTCTGTTTTGTGCCCTGACATTGATTTTTTTAAACCATAAAACTGTCTAGTTCCCTCTTGAATTGTCTGACACAATATACCTCCTTGGGCATTCTATTGCACAAATATTGAAGATAATTGGACTCCAATATACAAGTGTTTTTCTTTTTTAAAGAAATATACTACTGTATATCTTGGTATTTGTAAACTCAATATTGAAAAATTACATTTATTATCTGAGTTTTATTGTATTTTGTTCATTGTTTAGTTATAGTAATTTGTGCTTCTCAACTATCTAACAAGAAAGTAAAAGCACTTTACAAATTATAATTATATATAGGCAAGGTCAGCAGTAAACCTTATGTCAGCAATACAATTTAAGCGCTCCGAGACAATGCACCACATAAAGAGCACAATATAAATGTAAGTTGTTTCTTAAACAACAATACTATGAATTGCCAATTAATTTAGAATTTGTGGGTAGATCTCAATAAGGAAGGAAATATGAATCAGGAAGAAAGCTCCACTTATTTCAAAAACAGCAGAACATTCCCTCTACCACCTGAATCAAAAGGCAGACACAACCTAAAATTAACAATACAATTAAAGAATGGGGTGATCTGCATAATAAAATTCTGTACAATATAGAATGTTCTATACAACCCACCCGCCCCACCATTGGCGGGAGAGCCTTCAGCCACTCTGCCCCCAACCTCTGGAATTCCATCTCCCAATCACTCCGCCTCGCCCCCTCCTTAGCCTCCGTCAAGTCCCGCCTCAAATCCCTCCTCTTCGACCACACCATCGGTCAACCCCCTTCCCCTCCCTTCTCCCCCCCTGACCCCAGCTCTGGTCCGAAATGGTGTACACTGTCCAGCGCTTTGGAACGTCCTCCTGACGTGAAAGGCGCTATACAAATGTTCTGTTGATATTTGTGTTCTTTGTATGTGTTGGTAAGTTTTCTTTCAAGGCATTTATTCTTTTGCAGAAATCTCAATTGATGTTTTAGAGGGTAGGGAAAAATCTTCCCTTCGTTTTTCAATATGGCGTGTTATGATTGATTCTGAAGTGAAGCATTTTGTGGGATAGCATATTATGAATTCTTCATTTAATGTTTCTGCACCAAGTCATTCTACGTAAGATCGCTGATGTCTGCCTAGATTGTTGAAGCTTTATTGTTCATTAATTCATCAAATGCCATATAAGCAGACTTTCTTCAGTCCTTACTTTTAAAGGGGGGTTGTTATGAACATGGAAAAAACAATGTTGATGGCTTAAAAAATCTGTCCACAAAAGGCTGCTTTTTTTAAAAAAAGAGCAATCCCTAATGATTTTCTGATGGAAAAAATCAGTTGATTTTAGGCTTACAAATTTTCACATGACTTGCTTTCATGTAATTCCTCTTTTGCGAGCAGCACTATCTACCCGTGCAGAAATCCAAAGTTGTAAAATTTAGTGTCAAACACATTTGATTTGTCCATCAACCCATTTGGTTGTGAAATTTTGAAGTGTACAGTCATAACCAGTCTGTAACACAAACTACAGGATAATTTGTTTCAGGCCATTGTAATCAACTGCAGACTTGTTACTGTTACGATGTTATGTAAGAATTGAGGGCATGTTTCCTGCTACCAGTAATATTTTTTCTTCCTCAGTCTCTATCTGTTAGATATTCCACATACCTAACACATAGAGGTTGTAGAATTTAGTCAAAGCGTTAGCATCCTCTCCTTTGGAACTGCAGCAATCTCCTTGAGGCTGGAAGAGAAGTTGAGTCTGCTTTAGAACTGATCTGACTCCAACGTAATGTGCTTGAATGGCTGAATCGAATCAATCCTTCTTATTGGTCTTGGTTCTTGAGCCAGGCAGGTCCATCGGACTGCTTGGAACTACTGATGATGCACCTGCTAGCTTGGCGTGTGAGCACGGTTTGGAGGGCAGAGAAGACATAAGGGGCTGGGATTTTGTCAGACATGCTCACAATGGCAAGTTATGTAAGATTAACTTTCTAAAGTTCCACACACATACTGGGGTCTCCAAGAATTGTCTCTAGCCAAACTGTGGCAAATACTCTCTGGAATTGCGTAAGCAGATTGTGTTCCTCTTGGGAGAGAATGTGATTTCCATTCCAGACAAAGGGACATGCATAGGTCATGTGTATATGTCAAACTCTGGTAGGCTTGGAAACGTTTCAGCATGACACAATACAAATTGACATTGGTATAAACCTTTCACTTTGGAAAGATGTCCTTAGGTGGTGGACAGTCTCAAGGTTTGCACCTGAGTTGTGGGGGTGTGGTGGGGCGGGGGTGGGAGATGGCTGAAACCACAGTTAAAGAAGAAGGTTTTGAGCCAGACCTTGAAAGAAGTGAGGGAAGGGTCAGATGGAGTTCGAGAGAATGGGGCAAGATAAGCTGAAAGCCTGATTGCGGATGCTGGGGCAAGGGTTGTGAAGCAGGCCAGTGCCAACTGAGTGGAGGGAGAGGCCAGGTTGGTTGGATTTGAGGAGATTGCAGAGGTGGGGATAGGACAAGACAATTAGAGGGATTTAAATGTTAGGACGAAGGTCTTGAACCCAATCCGCTGGAGGATGGGTGCTAGTGGAGTTGGTCAAGGATGGAGATGATAGCCCTGTACAGTTTACTGAGGGTGGAGGGCGTAGGGGTGGGGGTGGCAGTGGGGGAAGCAGGGTGATCGAAAACACGATCGAAGAGGAGGGTCTTGAGATGGGTCTTGAAGGAGGCAAGGGATGGGGGGGAGGCAGAGGGACTGCGGGATGACGTTCCAGAGGTTGGGGGCAGAGTGGCAGAAGGCCTGCCCGCCAATTGTGGGGCGGTCGAGGCGGGGGACATGAAGCAGGCTGGAGCCCACTGAGCAGAGGGAGCGGACAAGATGGTAGGGCAGAGGTAGGGAGGAGTAAGGCCATGGAGCGCTTTGAAGGTGAGGCCCAGGATCTTGAACTGTATCCTCTGTATGATGGGAAGCCAGTGGAGTTGGGCGAGGGTGG